CCTGCAAATTCGACCACATGCTAACGCAACTCCCACGAGCTGCACTGACGGCTTCGTGTGCCTAGTGCAGCGGGCTTCCTGAACCGAAAACCAGGCGATGCCAGTCACCACCATCATGAGCTCCGAAAACTGTGGTTCCAAAGAGCAAGATCCCGGTGAGGCGCTGACGATTTCATACCCGCGGCCTCCTCGTCGTGGAAAGTCTTCACCTCCGAAGGTCGCCCAGAGAGGAAGGCGGGAGGAGGGTGCAGGACAGGCGCACACACAGGATGGATTGATGCATGAGGCTAAAGCAGGGGGGGCGGGAGGCGGAGGAATGAGGGACCAGGGGAAAGGACGGGGACGGTGGGGGACGGAACGAGGAGGAAGGACGAGGGGGGGAGGAGGAAAAATGAGGATGAGAAGGGAGGGAAGTGAGAATGAGGAGAAGGAGGAAGAAGATGGAAAAGGATGCGAAAGAGAGACCGAGAGGGGCAGCAGATCGGGGGAAGAGGGGGAGAGAGCAGCGAGGAGACAGAGGGGCAAATGACGAGGGAGGAAGGAGGATGCCCTCGCCCCACAAACTCGAACTGCAGCCGCCGTTGCATGGTGCAAAGGATGCAAGAGGGAAAAGTGGCCATGGTGGTGGCGATGGGATAGGATAAGTGTGTGGCCTCCGGCCCAACGCCGCATTCTGCCTGCAACAGGCGGCGCCTGCCACGCAGGCAAGTAGGGCGGCGCTGCCCTGAGCATAGGCGGCGGCGGACGAGCGATGCCCCCGGGGCATTCACTCCAAGCCGGAGAAGGGGGGAAGAGGGAGCAGAGCTCGGCAGCCGCCGCCGCGCATGCAGGCGCAAGCCATTAACTCGACCACCGCGACAATGCACAAGAAAACAAGGTGTGTGGGGGGCTAGGCCATGTTTCTCCCATGAACCCATCTGCTTGGCCCCAAAACTCGGTGGGCAGAGACAAACTGCAGAATACAGCCTGGGCAGGACGGACCACGGAGTCGGTCCGGAAAGCCCTAGAACAAACCGATGAGGGCCGATCCCAAATCGGTACCAACAAAAATTGGATGAAGCCACGGCTCCGCGACAACAAGGCGCCATGAGTGCGGCCGCGACTCCGCGACAGCAGAGCGCAGCAAGGAGCGCGGAGACAGGCCCAATTGAAGCAGTCGCGGGTCCGCGAAAACTCTGCATGGGGCCAGCAAGAGGGCCCCCCCTTCTTTACGCGCGGAATTGCTGCAGTGGAGAAATCCACCAGCCCCCAAGGGTATGTCAAAGCGCATGGGCAGCAACAGCGGTCACCTGCCGGCGATGGGGGGAGGGGTGCCTCGATACGGCGCGTGCGTTTTCACTTCGTGCGTGTAGCTCTGGTCGCCGGCCATGACTTCTAGAGGCAGGTCGCAGTCGATCGTGACCGTGGTGCGACCATCCGCCGCCACGTCGCGGGCATCGCATCACTGCGCGTCGTTGATAACGCCAAGATCTAAGAATCACCTGATCCAGCTTGCATGTCCCAACAATGCATTATCAGTTGGTGTTTTGAGATCTTTGCTGGAAGGAGCCTCATACACTGATTCGGCGTCAGTCGTGAGGAATACTTGAATACAAAGCCCACCGCATTGACAGAGGCGTTGAGCACAGAGGGACTCAGGGGCCCCTTGATTAGCCCGCGCAATGTTACCTAAGTGGGGCACAATTCATCCAGTACGAGCGGCGGCAATCGCTTCGGCAGCGCAGCTTGACCTGACTTAGAGACGGCGCGGTTTGCAGAGCCTGTCGACGCAGTGCATGACTTCCCCCTGACTACTCGTCTTTCGACGACAGAACAGATCGCATCCTTGACGGCCGCAGCCCGTGGTCTCGTCGCCCTCTTCGCTGGTGAGCTTTCGATACCCGAAGTCGCCGTGCAGGTCGAAGGCGCCATCAAAGGGGCCGTCGCCATCAAGGGCATCTGCTTGAGTTCCTGGAAGAGTTTGTGGGAGAGGGCACGCAAGCGCCTCACCCGTATATTAGCAGCTTCCTGGGCACGCTGCAAGGATACCGTACATATGTCCATGTGTACCTAAATCCAGAATTGGGCAAGTGTGGAATGCGCGAGGGCTCCCCGTGGGCCAACGGACATGTCGCTGACACGGTTGCTAGTCTTTGTTTCTGGGGAGGTTCCCACAAGATCGGGGCGTGCACGGGGGGCACAGCACCGCGCACACTCGTCCTATCAGTTCGCAACAGCGCACAAGGATCGAGCGGGGCTGCTGTCAAAGCGCGACCCTCGCCTTAGCGCCGCACACACTCGACTTGAAGGCTGGCAGCACCTTCGAGGACGGAGGGCCGCCCCATATCCAAGATGTGGCTCCCGCTGCAGCGCCACGCACGTCTGTCTCAAAAGTTCGCAAAACTGCTCAAGGGTTGGAGGGCGATTCGTCTTCACAAGGTGGCTAGTGTCTTCGAGGCGCCGCGCAGAGCTGTCGCAAGCTAGTGCAACGATGACAAAGACTGAGCTGAGCAAAGGTCGTGTTCAAACTGTGGCTCTCGCCTCAGCACCGCGCACATTCGTCTCAAAGGCTTGCAGTGGCTCGAAGAACGGAGGGCGATTCATCTTCAAAGTCTTCGGCGCCACGCACCTTCGATCCAAAACTCTTGCATCGCATGCGAGGATTGAGCACTGGTCGTCGTGGAAATGATGCTCTCGCCCGAATGCGGCGCACAGTCGCTCATTCATAAAAGGTAGAAGGACGGAGGACTGCTCAGCCTCAAACCGGGGCTCTCGCTCGAGACCTCGCGAAATCTTCAAGGCATGCAGCACTGCACGGACCCAAGACCAAGGGGCGGCTCGTTCTCCAGAAAGGAGCTCTCGACTGAGCCTTCCGAGAAGCGCATACGACCACAGGTGTCAGCGTGTGCGGCAATCACACGGAGGAGGGAAGTTCCTTCTTCGAAACGGGAATGACGGCTGCAAGCTGCACGAACAAAAAAAAACGAATACACAACAAAAGGAAGCAAGGCAGTTCATACTCAGACCAAGCTCTCGCCAAAATGGAAGGCCCAACTGCGCTGGTGCTTCAAGGGGGGGCAATTCTTGTCGTGAATATGATAGCTTGTAGGGACGTGTGAGGAGGGGACTTGGGATGGCAGTGTACTGCTGCATCGCTGCTGCGTCGTGGGAATACTCTGGTCCTCTTGATCCTCCTCCTCCTCTTCCTCCCATTCCTCACCTCGCCCTCCCCTCCTCCCATCCTTCCTCCTGCCCCTCCCCCTCCCCGACCATTCCTCTTCCTTCCTGCACCGACCCCTCCTCCTATCGGTGCGACACCTTGAGCAGCGTCTTGGACCGCCGGCGCTCGTAGAGGGAGCCTGGCGCTCGAAGCATCAGCCCCTCGCCACCTGGGGGGTTGAGGGCCGAGAGAGGGAGGAGGAGGAGGAGGAGGAGGAGGAGGAGGAGGAGGAGGAGGAGGAGGAGGAGGAGGAGGAGGAGGAGGAGGAGGAGGAGGAGGAGAGGAGGAGAGGGAGGAGAACGAGGAGCAGGAGGACGAGAAGGAGGGGCAGCAGGAGGAGGGAGGCAACGTTCACACATTAGCCTGGCGAAAGACCCAACCATATGCAGTTGTGAGCAACGCAGTTGTGAATCTCGTCCTCGGTGGAGCTCCCTATGGGGCCACAAAACGTGTGAGGGATGTGCCGAAATGGGCGCGGTGGGCGCATGCGAACGCAGCCACTGGGGCCCTCGGTGGAGACCCCCATGGGGCCACGAAACGTGTGAGGGGATGCTGGAAAAAATGGGGCGGACGCATGCGAACATCGTCTCTGGGACCTTCGGAGGAGCTCCTGATGGAGCCGCGAAACGAGTGAGCGGTGAGCCGGAATGGGTGGGGCGGACGCATGCTAACACCGCCGGTGGGGACTTCGGTGGCGTTCCCGATTGGGCCATGAAACGTGCGAGGGGTGTGCTGAAATGGCTGCGGTGGCGCATGCGAACACCACCACTGAGGCCCTCGGTGTAACTCCCTATGGGGACATGAAACGTGTAACCGGTGTGCCGAAATGGCTGCAGCGGGCGCATGAGAGCGCAGCCACTGGGGCCCTCGGTGGGCATCCCTATAGGGACACGAAACGTGTAGCGAGTGTGCCGAAACGGGTGCGACGGGCGCATGCGAGCGCAGCCACTGGGGCTCTCGGTGGAGCTTCCCATGTGGGCACGAAACGTGTGACGGGTGCGCCGAAATTAGTGCGGCGGGCACATACGAGCGCAGCCACTGGGGTCATCGGTGGAGCTCGCTATGGAACAACGAAACGCGTGAGGGGTATGCCGAAATGGGTGCAGCGGGCGCATGCGAGCGCAGCCACTGGAGCCTTCGGTGGAGCTCCCTAATGGGCCACGAAACGTGTAAGCGGTGTGCCGAAATGGGCGCGGCGGGCGCATGCGAGCGCAGCCACTGGGGCCCTCGGTGGAGATCCCTATGGGGCCACGAAACGTGTGAGGGGTATGCCGAAATGGCTGCGGCGGGCGCATGCGAGTGCAGCCACTGGGGCTCTCGGTGGAGCTCCCTATGGGGCCACGAAACGAGTGAGGGGTGTGCCAAAATGGTTCACTGGTGTGGAGGGCAGAGGCAGGATGATAGGAGGGAGGAGGGGGGAGGAGGAAGGACAGGAGACGCAGGGTGCTGCCTCTCCAAAACAGGGACTCAACACCGCGGTTGGGAAAAGGAAGTACACACAGACTCCACAGCACGCACATAACACATAAACACACACACACACACATACAAACACATACGCACACAAGCATACACACACACACAACCACACTGGTTACCAAGTCCTCTGCCATCCATGTAACATCACAGTCGCGATTCAACAAAGACGGGTCACGTGAACACCCCACCATACACATGATCAGACATCCCTCCTGACGATGCCAGTACCAAGAGGGCCCCAGATCCAGGCAAACGAGCAGGCGCTGGCGGGCAGACACCCTTCGTGGCCACGGCCGTTTCTTTCTCAACTGGGGCGCGCTGGCTAAGGCGAGCCCTCGGTGCTAACCACTAGGCTGTCAGCAGGTCGATGCATGGCGAAGAGGAGGCGAGGAGGAGGGCACAGAGGGGGGGAGGAGGCAGAAGAAGGAGGGGACCGAGAGGGGAGGATGGAGGGGGGCGAACCCCAGGCGCCCCCCTTCGACTGCACTGGGTATCCGAAGGTGGCTCGCGGCTGGAGGAAACGCCAACTGCACACCTGCACGGGCTCTGGCCCGACCAGCTTGACCAGGACTTTGGACGCCCGGCATGGGTACGCCACGGGGCCCGACGATACGGGACCCGGGAAAGCCCTCCGCCTCGAGCCGAGCCCGCGCCGCGAACCTGCTCCCGAGGGCAGCGGCCGCCCAGAATCAGGGGGGACGAAAGAGTAGGATAGCAAAGGGTAGGGTAGCGAATCCTCCTCCTCCTCCTCCTCCTCCTCCTCCTCCTCCTCCTCCTCCTCCTCCTCCTCCTCCTCCTCCTCCTCCTCCTCCTCCTCCTCCTCCTCCTCCTCCTCCTCCCTCCTGCCCATGCCTCCTCCTCCTCTTGCCACCTCCTCCCTCCTCCTCCCTCCTCCTCCTCCTCCTCCTCCTCCTCCTCCTCCTCCCTCCTCCTCCTCCTCCTCCTCCTCCTCCTCCTAATTACTCCTCCTTCTCTTCCTGCTCATCCTCCTCATCCTCCTCATCCTGCCTCTTCCTGCCTCCCCATCCGGAGGCCCCCTCCCAATAGAAAGCTTCAAACCGAGAGCGTTCAACATCGAACGCCCGCGCTGGCTTCACCGCCGCGCCGAGCCAGTGCGAACCCGCCACAAGTGCACAGTCGGCGGCGCCTCCCGGCGAAGAGGCGACAGGGCGGCGTCACGCCATGGTGTAGACGTGGACGAACCCGTCGAGCCCCGCGGATGCGAACTTGTCGGCGCCGCAGGCTGTGAGGGCGCCAACGCCGCCCTTGTGCGACTCCATCACCGGAGAGGGGTGGAGAGAGGACGAATGGGGGAGGGGGAAGGGGGGGAGGAGGGAGAAGGGGGAGGTAGAAGGAGAGAGGAGGGAGTGAGGAGGGAGGCGACGGACGGCACTGAGTCTGGATGTTCGCGGGGGCATCCTTGTCCTCCTGAGGCACACAGTGCGCGAGTTCCTACTGTCTGACATTCGCAGGTCATGTGATCAAGGCTGACCTTGAGTGGCCCTGTCGGTTGGCCACTGGAGCACAGCAGGGTGGAAGGAACGAAACGCCTTCTGGGGAGACAGTGATCTTCATGCACCTCGCCTCTAACTTTAGGTCGGGCCTGTCCCCCTACAGGCGGATGTTGGGCGATAAATTGAAAATAGCCCCCCAAAAATCCAAAATAGACAAAAAAAAAAATACTCAAAGATCGTCACCTGACAATTTTTTGACTATCTTTGAATATTCCTCCTGTAGAGGGACAGGCCCGACTTAACTCTAATTTGCCCCGGCCCGCAGCGGAGAGCCACCCCCCCCACTCGCTCTGGACGCCGAGCGCCTCCCACCGAGGCCTCCAGTCTGCCTCCTGGGACTGCGCATCAGACGTTGCGCTACGTTCAGTCGTCCCTGCAGATTCAGGAAGTGCTGATTGACATCGATGAGGTCCTCCTCACTCGCAGCGATCAGCTTAACATTCGAGGTGACCTCCACATTCAGGGGATTAATCTTCGCATTCTGGAGGCCATTCGCCGCACTCATTCGGCCAACGCATGAATGAGGCACCGCTGCACCGCAAGGCCGTGCACATTAAAGTGGCCCTCCGGTGTCACCAAGACCACCTTCACGTTCAAGGAATCCTTCAACACATTTACGCGGCACTCCTCGTTTATGAAGCTACGGTTCACCCTGCTGCACTTCACATGCATGAGTCTCCACTTCGCACTCAAGATGCCTTCCACCACGTCCACGGGGCCATCCACATTCATGAGGCTCGTATTCGCAATGAGGCAATCAACTCTCGCGAGGATGGGCCTCGACAAAGAAAGGTGGGACAGCCATCCACTCCTGGCACAACGGCAGCCACACACCTGGCCACTCCACCATTTCGACAAAGTGTTCCTCCACGGGTTCAACCAGGGCCACCGCCTTGACTCTGTCACAAGCTTCTCCCTAACGTCACGCTTTCCATCGCAAAACCACGGAAACCCAAGAAAGGGCACCCTGCAGGCAAGAAGAGTGTCTCTTGGCATGGGCCTCCACCCTACCTCCTGGGGCTTGGCGCGTCTGGTCGGAGGCTCGCCGCGGCTCCCCGCTTGACTTTGTTGGGCCCAAGGGGGCCCCAAGACAGGCCAAGAGGGCTGCAAGAGACCCCCAAGTTTGTCCGAGAAGGCCCCGAGTCGCCGAATGATCGCTCCGTGACGCTCAAGATTGCCCCCAGACGGCCCAAGAGGCCTCCAAGACGCCCCAAGAGGCCACCAAGAGGCCCCCAAGAGGCCTCCCAAGAGGGCCCCAAGAGGCCCAAATCGTTAACTGGCAGCGGGTGTTTGAAGAATTTAGGCGTTCTCGCCGTTCCGGCTTCCCGACGCTCCAAGACGGCTCACGAGGCCCACAAGATCGCCCCAAGACGGCCGCAGAGGCCCCCAAGAAGACCCCAAGAAGACCTAAGAGGGCCACACGCGGCCCAGGAGGGCCCCAAGACGGCCCAAGAGGGCCCAAAAACAGCCCCCAGAGGAGGCCGCCCAGAGGGGGGGGGACCCGAACGGACAGTTCGAGCCCTCGGCCCTGAGAGGCCCCCAGGAGGCCCAAAGAGGCCCCAAAGAGGCCCCCAAGAGGCCCCCACGAAGCCCCAAGAGGCCCTAAAGAGGCCCCAAGAGGCCCCTAAGAGACCCCTAAGAGGCCCCCAAGTGACCCCCGAACTGCTCCCAAGAGGCCCCCGAGAGCGCTCCGAAAAAACACCCCTAAAAACTCTGACCCACAACCCAGGCACGGTGTCGGGACCGGCCAAAGGTTATTAGACATAACACACCCGCAGTATGCAGCAGCCTGTCGTGCTTGGCAGAGGTGGTGGCGACCTCGGTGCTAAGCTTACTCATTGCACGGTCGGCAGACCACTCCGCCCACCACTTGCTGTCTTTTCGTTGAGCCGCTGTCCGCCGAGGATGCGCATCTTCCGTATCCTCTCGCGCCATCGCAACAAGCCCAGCCCGACCGCCCGCCGCGCCCACGCGCGGGTGGTCTCGAGCCCAGTGTTGAGCCAAAATGGCTACGGGGTGCCCTTGAGTGGAGGAGGGAGGAGGGAGGAGGGCGGGGAGAATGGACAAAAGGAGAGGCGGGGGAGGGAAAATGGGGGAGAGAGAGGGAGTGTGGAGCAGGGAGGGAGTCGGAGGAGGGAGGAGGAGCAAGAGCAGGAGGAGGGAGGCAGGACGGGGGAGCAGTGGGGGAGCGAAAGGGTAGCCACTGCCGCTGCTCGCCCAGCCTCTGCTTGGGCGCGTTCTATTCAAAATTTCGACGCACGTCCAGCAGTGGCAGCGAGGGAGGAGTAGCGGTATCGACATCTCGAGGAGACAGGAGATGGCAAATCGGAGGCAGGATGAGGAGGTGGAGGGGGGGAACAGGAGGGGCAATGGAAGGGGGGGGGGCCAGCTCGGGGAAAGAACATCGACCTGGAATCGGCGATACATCACCGGCAGATCGGGAATGAGCCCACGATAGTGAATCCGCATGTCCCTGGGCGGGGTGGGGGCTACCGGGACCCTATCGGCAATGCATGGGCGATTGGGGGTCGATGCATGCGTCCCTGAGCCCATCCCCCCTGACGTTGCCCCTGAAGGAAGAGGAGGAGAGGGACAAAGGAACCCAGAGGGGAGGGGCACACCAGAATTAGGTCGGGCGTGTCCTCCTACAAGCGAAATTTGGACGACAAATAACAAATAGTTCTAAAAACTAACACCCAGACTATTTTTTCCCCCAATCAGTGCTTGCACTGAAGGGGTCCTAGCGGATATTGAAAGAGAAAGCGAATGTTTCACGCCGATTTTGGTGGCAGGCCGGGTTCCCGGGTTCCCTGTTCCGGGTTCCAGGGTTCCCGGTTCCTGGGCCGATTTCGGTGGGCGGCGAGTTTCCCAGGTTCCTGGGTTCCTGGTCTATTTTCTTATCGATCGGTCTCAGCATCGATCTCATTTCCCACCTCTCTATCAATCTCATCATCGATCTCACAATCGATCTGACAATCGATCTCGCAAGCGATCTCACTAGAGATCGCACGAGCGATCTAGCGATCGATCTCCCTATCGATCTCATTGAATCGGATTCACTCTCGGTCTCACGATCGATCTCACAATCGTCAACTATCGATTCCACTATCGATCTCATGATCGATCTCGCAATCGCTCTCGAGATCCAGATGACTAGTTCTCAAATCATCCACTGATTGGGTTCTCCCAGGTGTAAGACTATGTTTGGACATTCCTCCTGTGGAGGGACGTGCCCGACCTAAGACCAGGAGCAGCGCACCCCGCCCGAGCGCGAGCTGAGAAACGCGCGCCGGAGAGGCGTGGGGGCCACGAGGCGGGCGGAGAGGCCGGCCCGACGGCGAGGCGACGGGAGGGTCAGCCTGACGACGGGGCGGAGGGGCAGGCGAGCAGCGCACGCCCATACACCCTGCGAAATGCTTAAGAAATCATGGGTTAAGAAATTCATAGTCTCAGAACTTGAATAAAAACCCAACATTTCTATTAAAATCTTAGGGTTTACATTGAAACATTAAGAATAATCGAGACTCTGGCCGAAAACTTAAGTTTTCTTAAGCATCGCCTAAGGTGTACGGCAGGTTCGAGTCGTGTCGACCCCGGCGTTGCTTCCCGACATCGCGGGGTCGTTCAACCTGGAACGATCGGCTGTTCACGAAGCGTCAAGATCGTTCAAAGTCGCCCGATGCTGGGTCGCCGGCGGCGTTCAACGTTGAACACCCACGGCGGGGTCGCCGCGGGTCGACACGACGCGAACCGACCGTACCCATTCGGGGGCGCGCAAGCATGGATCAACGATCCCTGGATTTGGCGCGCGGTCGCCAAAAAACCATGAATCAGGGAAGGGACCCTCCCCACAATGCGGTTGGTGCCGCCTCGCTCGGCGGCGGAGGTCCGCGCTTTCCCACGGGAACGGGACCCATCGCTAATCCACGCCCCCTTGATCCCCTGTTTGCGATCGCCCGAACCATGGGGGGATCGGAGGGAGGAGGAGGAGGAGGAGGACGACGAGGGAGGAGGAGGAGAAGGAAGAGGGGGAGGAGGAGGAGGAGGAGGAGGAAGAGGAGGGAGGAGGAGGAGGAGGAGGAGGAGGACGAGGGAGGAGGACTGGCTGTGGGTCTGGGTGCGCGCGGCGGGACCACGGGGGAGGCTCCCGTGCGAGCGGGGAGCACCATCCGACGGCACGCACCCAGGGCCTCCTCCGTCCCCCGATGGGCTGCCTACCAGACCACCCCGACCCAACCCGAAGACCCGAATTTCGGGCTGGGGGGGATACACCCTGCGAAATGCTTTAGAAATCATGGGTTAAGAAATTCATAGTCTCGGAACTTGAACAAAAACCCAGAATGTCTATTCAGATCTTAGGAATCATATTGAAAAGTTAAGAATAATCGAGACTCTGGACGAAAACTTAGGTTTTCTTAAGCATCGCCTAAGGTGTACGGGTTCCATGTGTGTTGTTTCAATGTTCCCCGACCCCCCCCCCACTGGAAATGGAAGGCAAATGGAGACCTTCGGGTTGGGTCGGGGTGGCTTGGTGGGTGGTGACCTATGGGTACGCGTGTGTGTGTGTGTGTTGTCCGTTCGTCACGGAAGGAGGGAGTCAGGAGGCAGCTCTCGCTAGCGGCGAACGTTATCCATGTGCGCGCCCTGGTGGTCTTGATTCTGAAGTGCGATCCCAAGGATACGCGACGAAAAAACGCCGCGTATCCGCAGGGTCGCTGCCCAAGGGCCAGGCCCACGCGGCCACGGATACGGACATGTTTTTCGCCCACGAGGAAGGAAGGACTGCGGAGGGGGAGTTAGGAGGCAACTCCTTGGAGGCCTTCTCAAGCAAGGCGAAGCCAGGACAAGGACAAAGTCGGACCAGGATAAATCGGAGATCTCTGAGATCTGGCAGTTCTGGAGGATGTATCGAGCCCCGCGGCCGTTCCAGAGCGCTCGAGAACGTTCTGAGAGCGTTCCGAAACGCTCTGGAAATATGTTCATCCTGGACCTAACCCCCTCGCCCCGTGCAAGAACGACTGGAGGCCACTAAGCCGGATTAAGCCTGCGGTTAAGCCATAATAAGCTGGACTAAAAGGGACCTCTACAGGAGGAATTCTTAATATGTAAGACACTTCGAATTTTTTCCTCGAAAATCGGCCTGTAGGGAGACAGGCCCGACCTAAGACTAAGAGTAAGGGACAGGCCCGGCCTGTAGGGGGACAGGCCCGACCTCATTTAGACCGAATTAGGCCGGATTGGGTTAGTTTTTTCGACCACGGACGTGCCAGCGCCCATGGTGAAAAATTCTAGCTTCCCGGGAGCCGCATCCGAAGCGCGGAAGCGCCCGCTACCCCCCAGGACGGGACGGTCCGCATGTGCGGACCTGCCTCGGGTCCCAGGGCCCCAAGGGAGCCACACCCTGCCAGTCACCACACCGGGGAGCTGTGGTCCTTACCCCCCTGGGGGAGCCCATCGCATCGACGATCTCGCGAGAGGAATGTCGAGATCGATGGGTCCCCCAGGGGGTAAGGACCACAACTCCCCCACTGGTGGCTAGCCTGGGGATAGCCAAGGCAGATGACGGCGAGTACGATGCATCTGGCTTGTCCAGCGCCAGAGGGAAGCGACTGGCGGCGGGGCAGAAACCAGCTGCCTACAGCAGATGTCGCAGTTTGCCCGACCCGAGAGAAGGGAGGGGAGCGAGATGAAAGGTCCGCATCACCTTGGCCTTGTTCTTTTTTGTCTCCAGGTCCCAGACGTAGATGTGACGGTCGAGGGAGCCGCTCACAAGCTGAGACCCGCCAAGCCAGGCGAGACACGTCACCCTGGCAGTGTGCAGGGACCAGTCGATGATCTTCTCCGCACCACCATCGCTCATGGTCCAGACGACCACCTAGCTGAATGCAGCAACGCAGAGGAGCGTCCAGGCATTCACTCATTCGTCATGTGTTACTGGCTTGTTCGTTGGCAAGACTTGGACGTATGCACACATGTACAAAAGCCCATGATCACAATCGTCATAGTGAACGGCATCGTCATCATCGTCGTCATCATCATCAGCAGAAGCAGCATCAGCATCAGCATCATCGTCACCATCATCCTCATCACCGCCACCACCATCGTCAACAACAACAGCAACAACAACATCAGCATCATAAGTAGCATCAACATCACCACCACCATCCTAATAAGCATCATCATCATCGTCATCATCGTCGTCACCGTCATCATCAAAATCAACAACATCATCAGCATCACCCTAGACACTACTATCATCAGCCGCGCCCTACACGTAACGCGCACGTTCTCAGGCAGACAGGATGATAGGCTCCACCTCATCCGAATCCCCGTCGCACTCGTCATCATCGGCAGTATCAGAATCAGCATTAGCATCAGCATCATCATCAGCAGCATCCTCAGCATCATCATTATCATCATCATCATCATCATCATCATCATCATCATCATCGTCATCATCATCATCATCATCAGCATCATCATCATCATCATCATCAGCATCAGCATCAGCATCATCATCATCATCATCATCATCATCATCATCATCATCATCATCATCATCATCTTCATCATCATCGTCATCGTCCTCAACATCATCAGCATCATCAGCATCATCATGAGCAGCATCATCATGATCATCCTCGTCAGCAGCAGCATCATTGCCATTAGCATCAACATCATCGTCGTCATCAGCACCACCACCATCAGCACCGTCAGCATCGGCATCGTCCTCATCATCATCATCATCCTCATCATCCTCATCCTCATCAGCATCGTCTTCAGCCTCATCATCGTCAGCAGCATCAGCATCTTCATCATCGTCGTCGTCGCCGTCGTCGTACTCATCGTCAGCATCAGCAGCATACACAGCACAAGCGAACTGTACATAATTGTTAGCATCAGCACCCACATCATCATGGTCAGCAGCATCAACGCCACCAGACTGACGTGGTCGTCATACTCGTTATCCTCCTGCTACGTGGTGCCCACCAACAACACCTCACATTCTTCATCATCAACGAATATACCGCCATTCGAATCGTCGCCACATTCATCCTGGTCACCATCATCGCCATCAGCACCTAGATCATCATCACCCTCTTCCTCATCATCAGCACCAACATCATCAGCATCATCAGCATCATCGTCAGCATCGCCATGATTGGCATCAACATCATCACCGTCACCATCACCAGCATCAGCATCATCATCCTCAGCATCATCACCATCATACTCTTCATCTGCATCTTCATCGTCATCGGCATTCCCATCGTCATTCACTTCCGCATCGTCATCGCAGTCACGTTTAACTTCCCTTCCCCTTCCTCTCTTCGATCACCCTGCGTCGCTCTCTGCTCCAATCCTTCCCGCTCAAGACTCCGTTCAACCTCCGAGCCAACTCCGAAGGCTGGAAAGTCCCGGCGGACGCCATCTACAACACGTATCCCGACCACACGCACCAGAGTGCGCGCGCGTGCCAAGGTGGAGGAGCAAAAAGGAGAGAAGGAGGAGGAGAAGCAGACGAAGAAACAAATAATGCCACCGCTGCGGACAATCGACGGGGCCCAGCTGGGACCAGGTGGGCGAGGCCGTGGCCTCCAGAATTGGCTGGATACTGCGTGCCCAACAAATTCTGGAGCCCGTTGAGTCCAGCGGGGGCTGCAGGGCCCCTCTTCCTCGATATTGCAATTTGTTCGTGACGTCGGCACCTGGGAGTCTCGACCACTTCCCGCGCCAGCTTTCCATCCACAGTCGTGTCGTTGACGGTCCAGGTGCCAGGAAACGGCCTCCAGAGGCCAGCCACAGCAAACAAAAACTTGATGCCACGGTTTCTGCGACGCCCGGATCTGAGGGAAGGAGGACGAGGGAGGAGGGAGGAGGGTCGAGTCTGGTTTCTGGGTATGGCGCGCCACAGGACCAGCGAGTCCCACAAAACACGTTTTGCGTCGGCGGCTAGGCAGAGTGTGAATACGCTGGCGATGAAAGGTATGAACGGGCGTTCCGTTGGAGCGGATTGAGGAAGGAGGGACACGGCCGAAGGAAAACAAGGACGGGGCGGGCGGCTCACGGGTCAGAACGCTCCCCGAGCGTGTGGCGCGGCCGGCCCCGCCGCTCGGCACGCGGCGGCTGCTGCGAAATCGGGCCGGGGGCGGCGGGGCCCAGCGCGCGAAGGCAAAACCACACCGGATATGACGATTGCGCGGCGGGGTGCCAACTCCGAGGCTGCCCAACCCCATCATGGGTGCGCAACGAGCCACGGGGATGTGGCGCCAGCGGCGGGCGGCAAGACCAGGCCCGGGGCTGGTGCGGGTGCCGGAGGCTGGCGGCCAAGGGCGGCGTCAGCGGGGCCGACAGCGCCAGGGATCAGGGATCACAAAACACAGGCATCAGGGATCCCGGTAAGAGACTAAGAACTGCAGTTCCCAAACAATGGCCACGACCAGTGACGTATCCTGCCCCAGGAGTTCGCCCGTCCCCCAAATCCAACGGGGGAGGGCGGAGGACGAGGAGGAAGGAGGACGCCTTGTTGGACGCGTCGCCCGAGGCCATCTTGTCTCCCGAGGGGACGAACCTGATCACGGACACCTCGCCGAGGTGGCCCTCCAAGGTTGCCTTCTGCACGAGCCCGTCGGGGGAGCCTGGCCCGTCCGGGGGAGGCGGTGGACGAGGGAGGGGGGCAAGTGGAAGATGCAAGGACAACTGCGCGATTCGCGTATGAGAGAGGTGGCCTACCAAGATGGCGCAAGGCCTTCTTAGAAGGCAATGTGCCCTCTTAGAGACCCTAGAGGCGCTTGAGAAGGCTTCTGAGAAGCGGGGCGAGCTTAGAATCCACGCCGCCGGCTTAGAAGGCGGACCCCTCACGCCACCCCGAAGGTTTGGGGGGACTGGCGCAGGGGGAAACGCATCGAGCTGGAATCGGCGGTACATCGCCGATAGATCGGCGATAGGATCCCGATACTGGAGCCGCACATTCCTGGGCGGGGTGGGCTATCGAGTCCATACTGGCGATCAGTGGACGATTGGGGGTCGATGGGTCCCCCCCTGGGCCTACGCTGTCCCTGAGGTGAGCGTGGGAGGGAGCAAATGGAAGAAACAAGAAGCTGTATCAGCATGTTTGCAAGCACGGACCCAAACAGTGGGTTCTCGCACTCCTGGAACGGAATCTCTGTGGTGCGACCTGTAGTGTGGACCAACCTCTGCGGTGCAGTCTTTGTAGCGCATTCTACTGGCAAAAACTGCATTGGCACTTCTAGCACTAGGTCGGACCTGTCCCTGTACAGGGGGATCTTGGGCAACGAATTACACATACTCCAAAAATGCTCAAAAATAATCAAACAATAGTCCCCTACTATTTTGTGATTATTTTTGAATATTCCCCCTGTAGAATGACAGGCCCGACTTCAGGGGAGGGCGGAAGGGAGGGAGCAGCGGCAGCCGCAGCAGGGCCGGCGGGGGCTTCCAGCAGTCAGGAGCCAGCGTCCGACACGCTGTAGAGCAGGATCTGGAACTGCGAGCTCGCCACACCGCCCACGATCCCGTCCGGCCTCTCGCTCTCGCTCTCCGAAGGGAAGGGGAGGAAGAACAAGGCAGGGAGAGGAAGGAGGAGGAGGAGGAGGAGGCGAAAGGGGAGGAGGAGGAGGAGGAGGAGGAGGAGGAGGAGGCGGCGGCGGCGGCGGCGGATCAGCATGTGGTCAAATTCTCGGCAGAGCAGAATGGACGACCGCTGGGCGCACGAGAGCTGCTGCAGCCCTGGCGTTGTCAAAAGAATCGGGTCCCCCCCCGAGCAGGCTCAAAACCCAGCCATGGGGACTCCACTGGGTATGTAATGGGTCGTGAAGCCACTACCCTACCATAAACAAAATCGCACTGTGGAATGGCTCCAACAGTCACGGGCAAATCGGCGAAGAACAGAAGGAAGATGCGGCGCGCCTGTCTGTGCAACAGCTCGGGGGAGAGGGGGGGCGGAGGGAAGAGAGAATTGCTCGAAGCCAGATGTCGTCCCCGTCAGGCGTTCGGGGTCGCCACCCCCAGCGGCCCATGACCACAGGACGGGACGACACGCGCGACCAAGGAGAACGTGGTACCAAAACTTACACGCAACACTCACGCACAATACATACATTGATGTGGGTATTCCGTGACACACCGACCGCGCGAAACTCACCTGCCGCGCTTCCCCTTCCCCTTTGCCACGGCCTCTACCACGCGCGCGCGCACTGCTACTACTCAGAGGGTTGTAGACGCCTATGAATCGCATTCTGTCGCGCTCTGTGATGCTCGTGGTAGGTCTCGCATCTACCCCCTGCGGTGCTTGCGGCTGCTGAGCATCTTCTGAAGGCTGTTCTGCACTTTGCGTTCTTGGGTGTTCCTGGGGGGGTGCTCCTGGCTTCGGCACGCTGCCCAATTTCATCAAGAGTTTGGCGATGATGATGTTCATGGGGATGCAAAACCCCCCCACCGTGCAGTAACTGTTCACGAAGTATGTGTGACGCACCTGCGGAAGCTTGACCCTCCTTCTGGCATGTGCTCCTGGCCCTCCAATAGCGGATATATTCGCTCGCCACCGGCATCGGCTCTCGAGCCACCCTCTCGTGAACGCCTGGAGCACGGCCAACTCCTCTTTCACGGATGGGTCCTGCTGGAGCTGCGGCGACCCGCATATGGCCTGCAAGACCGCCATCCCCACCGTGAGAGACGGTGGCCCCATCCCGTGCTCCCCGCCATTCCCCTCCACCTTCTCCGCATACACCTTGGCCGACGCCACTGCTTCTGGGTTCAGCACCTGCTCGGCTGGGAGCACGTGGGTGGTGAGGAGGGCGCCCTCGAGCATACGCTGGCGCTGGGACACAGTCAGGTACCCTTTGCACATCTCGACTGCCGTATCGTCCTCGCTGTCCTGATCGAGATCGTCGTCTCCCCCTCCCGCGGCCACGCCCAGGCCCCACGCGGGGGCCTCCTGGCGGCCCTTCTTGGGCTCGGGCCCTCTGATTCTGCCGCTCCCGCCAGCGCTGAACAAGGGCTCCGTGGAATTGCTCGCTATACGCTTGCGGGCGTCCTTCAACATGTCCTCGCTGATCATGCCCGCCCCCCACTGGGCCGACATCGAAGGAGAAGCTAGCTGAGGAGGGCAGGAGGATGTGGCTTCGAATGTGCACCTGAAGAGCCTCAAGACTACTGTGATCAACGCTGCACGCTGGGCATTGGCATGCAGTAGGTTGCTCCACGGCGCACTGGAACAGGCCCCTGTCAGCACAACACCTATGACGTATGAAGAGAGACCGCACGCGCTGGCGCGCAATAGCACGATTTGACAGTACACTCATGCACCATGGACATTGGTTCGTAACAGTAAGTAAATTGCTGAGCGCTCTGTGGCCATGGGTCCCACCAGTTGTAAATCGCATGTGAGCATACCAACCCTGTTGGTCATGGAACTGTAGTCCACACAACCGTGCCATCACTACACAATTCATTGCATGTCCATGTGGGCCGGGGCGGGTCGGGCACGCCATCGTCGTCAGGGGCCTGCTCGGGTGCGTCCTCATGTCCGTATCCCTCCTCCCCGTATTGACCCTGCCAATAAAGCTTACGTAAATGTTCAAAGTGTAGTTTTCCAAACTGCCTGTTAAACCGTCACTGCACACACGTAGCCGTGCGCCGCCCATAGCTTCAAGGAGTGCGGCGCCACCTGGAACCCGTCGAACCGCCCCCAGATCTGCATGAGCCTGCAGGGCCCAAGGATTTCCATGGAACGTCCCCGCATCATCCCGCACAAGCTGCCAGTCCTGAAGGGTTTCGGTTGGTTCACCTGGTAGACGGCCAAAAAGAGCAGCTAACAGTTGGGCGTTCTCTTGCATATGCAGCGCAATCTGTTGGAGCCACCCGAGGCGCCGCACACAGAGTTCGATTTCGGTGGGGACCAGGCCCAACATGCCCCAGACCTTTCGAGGAGGGTGGGCCGCGTGTTTTATGCCCCCCTCAGGTGTGGGAGTTTTTTAACACAGCCCGTCCTCCGAGAAGTCGTTTGCCCCATAAGAGAAGCAAGCCATCGATAACTTTATAGTCGCTCTGCAGGGGAATGAACGCCTCCAGCCCGCTCAGAATTGCACCTTGCACACGGGCCTGAAATACACTTCGCTTTATATTGCTGCCTACATGTCGCGCGTACTAGAACTTACCCATAGCATGCCACCCACGCCGCATGTTCTTTGTAATGCTTTGCCTCTGCTGCGCCGTGCTGTAGTGTTGGTTATACTGTATACCAAGGTATGTCGCTGTAGTGCGCACGCATCCCGCCACTCCATTTTGCGCCCCAGAAAACACGCGCGACTCATGGACCGCACCGGGACCCACGAACTTAGGCACGATATGCTGCTTGTCATAATTCTGGACACCACCAAGTTCCCACAAGCGGTCGTCAAGTTGCGTGCTAGCCCCGTGTACACCACGTGCGAGTGCGCGCGCATTGGATGCAAGAACCTTGTGTGCAATATCGTCCATAAACACCGTCGTCGAAAGGTCGACGGGCGCATCTGTGAACGGCCTGCTACAAAGCAGTTCCCGCCCATTTCCCTGCTGCTGTCGGTCCTGGAGCCAAGGTTCGACAACGACCCTTTGGAACGTATGATTATACTTACTCGACGCAATCTGGTGGCCTTGCAGCGTTCCGTCCTGGATCTGGTAGGTGCTGACGCCATCCGAACAATCGAGAGTCACGAAACTATTGTGATTGCACGATGTCCCTACGAAGACGTCCTCGGGGTGGTAATGCATGCCGTCCGCATCGTCCACATGGGCAAGCCGCACGCTCCAGAAAGCATTGGCCTGGTCGAAACTTATCCTGGCGAAGGACCCAACCATATGCAGTTGTGAGTATCGCAATTGTGAGTATCTTCTTCGGTGGCGCTCCCTATGGGGCCACGAACCGCATGAGGGGCGCGCCGAAATGTGGCGAGGTACACACCGCAAAGGAATACGATAGATCTGATTACCAGAGAAAGAACGCGGGTGACTCAGAGCGCGAGGGAATCTGAGTATGAATGGGTCTGCGCGCGAGTGAATATATTTGCATGAATGCGATCATGGAACCGCCTAGTGTAAGTGTCGAGCATGCCTGTCCGAACACACGTGACACTGGGCGTGGCCGCCGCAGGCAGCTTCCGCGGGAACCCCGACGGCAGCGTCCGCACGTCGCGACGCCCATGTCGGCACGCCTCTTGCGAGGATCGCGCCCGCTTTCGGCTCTTCTTTTCCTTCCTCTTTGCCCGCGCACTCCAAAATCCAAGGCTGCGGGCGCAGCGCAGCGCGGAGTCCCCGCGACGCGCGCTGGTCGCCCCGGGCGGGGTCCCAGCGACGCGCGCGGGTCGTCCGCTGCGCGAAGCAGAGAGAGCTGACTAGCTAACTGGCTGGCTGATAGCGGGCAAGTCTCTGACCGCTGGGCAGAGCGACGACGGGCGAACGAGGCGCCGGGCCCCCCGCAGCACGGAGTTCCCGCGACGCGCGCTGGTCGCCCCGAGAGGGTCCCAGCGACGCGCGCGGGTCGTCCGCGGCGCGAGGCCAAACAATTAGTCGGGCAGTCGAGAGAAGGCGCGGCTCGGGGGAGACGCTCCTCAGGTCAGGCCTCGCGGATGAACTCGGTGAAGCCGAGCTCCCTGGCGAGGGCCGTCGCTTCCCTCCTGCACCGCTTCGTGCGCGCCGCAAACTGCTCCAGCTGCTTCCGCAAGCCCTGCGGCGGCCCTGCCAGGAAGAACTCGATGCGCGGCGCCCGCATGAGCAGGAGGTCCTCGTGGCGCGTGGCGCGCGAGAGCAGCACGTAGAGCTCCAGCCACCAGTCGTCGTCCTCCTTCTTGCCGTTCCCTACCTCGTGGCGGCCGCAATCCAGGATCACGCCTGGGCGACGTCGACCGAGGGAGCAGCGCGCCGGGCAGCCGACGGCCCAGGGCGAGAGTCCACAGGACCGAGAGATGGTCTGGCCGCGGACTGCTCGCGCCCCGGAGGTCTGGCCGCCCCCGGAGCGCCGTTCCCCCGCCCCGTCGCCTTCGCGCATGGTGCGCCCCTGGCACGCCACCGTGGTGATGACCCTGCCGTGCGAGAAATGCGGGGGGTGTGCCGAAATGGGTGGGGGTGACGCATGCGGGCGCGGGCACTGGGGCCTTCGGTGGAGCTCCCTATGGAGCCACGAAACGTGTGAGGGGTGTGCCGAAATGGGTGTGGGGGACGCATGCGGCCGCGGGCACTGGGGCCTTCGGTGGAGCTCCCTATGGAGCCACGAAACGTGTGAGGGGTGTGCCGAAATGGGTGTGGGTGACGCATGCGGCCGCGGCCACTGGGGCCTTCGGTGGAGCTCCCTATGGAGCCACGAAACGTGTGAGGGGTGTGCCGAAATGGGTGTGGGTGACGCATGCGGCCGCGGCCACTGGGGCCTTCGGTGGAGCTCCCTATGGAGCCACGAAACGTGTGAGGGGTGTGCCGAAATGGGTGTGGGTGACGCATGCGGCCGCGGGCACTGGGGCCTTCGGTGGAGCTCCCTATGGAGCCACGAAACGTGTGAGGGGTGTGCCGAAATGGGTGTGGGTGACGCATGCGGCCGCGGGCACTGGGGCCTTCGGTGGAGCTCCCTATGGAGCCACGAAACGTGTGAGGGGTGTGCCGAAATGGGTGTGGGTGACGCATGCGGCCGCGGGCACTGGGGCCTTCGGTGGAGCTCCCTATGGAGCCACGAAACGTGTGAGGGGTGTGCCGAAATGGGTGTGGGTGACGCATGCGGCCGCGGCACTGGGGCCTTCGGTGGAGCTCCCTATGGAGCCACGAAACGTGTGAGGGGTGTGCCGAAATGGGTGTGGGTGACGCATGCGGCCGCGGGCACTGGGGCCTTCGGTGGAGCTCCCTATGGAGCCACGAAACGTGTGAGGGGTGTGCCGAAATGGGTGTGGGTGACGCATGCGGCCGCGGGCACTGGGGCCTTCGGTGGAGCTCCCTATGGAGCCACGAAACGTGTGAGGGGTGTGCCGAAATGGGTGTGGGTGACGCATGCGGCCGCGGGCACTGGGGCCTTCGGTGGAGCTCCCTATGGAGCCACGAAACGTGTGAGGGGTGTGCCGAAATGGGTGTGGTGGACGCATGCGGCCGCGGGCACTGGGGCCTTCGGTGGAGCTCCCTATGGAGCCACGAAACGTGTGAGGGGTGTGCCGAAATGGGTGTGGGTGACGCATGCGGGCGCGGGCACTGGGGCCTTCGGTGGAGCTCCCTATGGAGCCACGAAACGTGTGAGGGGTGTGCCGAAATGGGTGTGGGTGACGCATGCGGGCGCGGGCACTGGGGCCTTCGGTGGAGCTCCCTATGGAGCCACGAAACGTGTGAGGGGTGTGCCGAAATGGGTGTGGGTGACGCATGCGGCCGCGGGCACTGGGGCCTTCGGTGGAGCTCCCTATGGAGCCACGAAACGTGTGAGGGGTGTGCCGAAATGGGTGTTGATGATGATGATGATGATGATGATGGGATGGGGGGGGAGGAGGCAGCGGGAGGAAGGAAGGAAGGAAGGAAGGAAGGAAACGCGGGGCACCGTCTCTTCAAAACGAGGACCCAACACCACAGGATGGTTGGGAAAAACACTGTCGCATGTGATTTTCCCATCTTAGGTAGACGCCAACTCAAGATAAGTTGCACCCTAACTGCCGACTCACGCCGTCGATGTGCGATGCCCCCGTGCATGCAGCTGTGGTACACACGTTCAGGATACGTACGCGCGCCACGTCGCTCAACCTGCCTTGACATAGCCCTCGAAAAGGGGCACACCCTATGGACATGCCTCAGGGCTTTCATGCCAGTCCCACTCTTGGGGATGCAACATCCCCAAGATCGATTCCAGTCCCGCGGGATTTTGGCCAACCCCCTCACCGACCATAAGATGCCACGGAGGCGCCGAGAAAACCAGAGCATCGGAGGAATACTATCAAAACATCCATCGTCCAAATCGCGATACCGAGGGTCACGACGTTTGGGTAAAAGGAGCATGCGAAAGACCTCCATGGGAAGGCTCCAAGGGGGGGCGCTCTTCCTATACTTCATACGCACAAGAGCTGCTCGAATACCGTCAAGGTCCTGATCCACATCATTCTTGAACGTGGGGTTCCATAGGTGCATGCCGTCATGGCGCTCATGGCGCTCAGGTGGGTGGGTGGCCGGGTCAACGCCAACAGCCCGCTGGCCTCCAAGGTATCCTGGTTTGGCTAGGTGGTCGCTCCACATCTGGACCGTGGGACGATACGTCACAGGGCTGTTATAGAACCTGCGGCCCGCACCGACAGTCGTAGCCGCCAGCCATCGACAAAGCCGATGGACGAGGGCATGCCGATTGGCCTTCCAAGCTTCGACAACCTGCTGGCTCAAACTGTCTGCCCGACGGGTGTTATAGGCGAGCTTTTTGTCTTTGACCTCCCGCGTGACCCAAAACAGTCGCTGTTGAATATGCGTGAGCTCGGTTATCTCAGCGCCGTCACATTCGTCGAGACGCTGTCGAAGGCTCGCACGCTGCTCAAGAAGACTACGTTGCTCAGCCCGTGCACGCGCATACCCTTCATCCTCCTCCGTGTGCTGCGCAAAATACTGCAGTGCAATACGCCGTACGTCCTGCACAAGGGCCTCCCACCCCTCACATGGTGCAGCAAGGCACTCATGGCTCTTCCACTGAACATACGCGCGCTCGCAGTGTTCCTCCACATCCTTCAAAAACCGAGCCCGCCATAGCCCATCAACCACTCCCTCCACAAGGCGATCGGTCTCCCACCTTTCGCTTTTGGTGTGCGGGGTATGGGGAAACGATAATATATAGTGTACCTGAGTCTGTAGCGGCCAGTGGTCCCACCGCTGCCTGACTGGGGTCATTTGCAGCCTGCGCCCAATACGCTCCAGCACACGACTATGCACGACAGAAGACAACCACGAACGAGGTGCACCAAAATAGTCGATACGTGCACTGTGCGCGCGTCTAAAATAAGTGTCTTGGCCTCCCACAAACGTGTTTATCAAGCACAGCCCGAACCTCTCCATGAACTCACGCACTCGGCCCATGCAGTAGTGTTCTCGTTGGGGGGCCAACTCACCGATGGGGTTATACTCATCTACCACATAGCTAGGGTCGGGGATATCTGCGTAATCGTTGAGGTCCCCGCCGAACGTGATGGACACACGTGCAGGCTGCTCGTCGCATATCTTTGTCATCCACGCGAGCATGCTATCCACAGTTTTCTTGTATACAGACATATGCCGTGCGACATGGGGACGAGGAGGGAAATAGGCAACGATACACAGCAAGTGAAACCTGCCCGATCTGAGTACTACTGCACCTGCTCTCCCCTGAATACTCTCGGGCGGCGAATAGATTTGGGCAATGTGGCTCAAGCATAAGAGGTCTTTGCGCAACCGGAGCTGGACGCCCGCATGTGCGCTCGAGAAGGGCGCCCGACTGTATCCCCAGTTGAGCACATGGTGGTTGCCATCGGCAACTGTCGTACAGGGTCCTTCACTGGGGAGCCTCCTGACACGCGTGCCTGTCAGGAACAGGACATCCTTCGTCTTGTACGCCGTACTAATCTCAAGACCGCGCCCGAACTGCATCAGAGAACACACATTGTGCACCACGAAATTGAGACACCGAGACGCCATGTGACTTCCTGCCCGTGCTGGGGGGGGGGGATTCAGAGGGCAAGGGTGCGCAGTACACGTTCGGTGGAACGGCATGTAGGCGTGAAGGGTATGTCGCAAAACGAGCCCCTCAGACGCCTAGGAGGAGGAGGAGGAGGAGGAGGAGGAGGAGGAGGAGGAGGAGGAGGAGGAGGAGGGAGGAGGGAGGAGAGGGAGGGACAGGAGGACCGAGGAGGGAGAAGGATGAGGGCACCGGGGGAGCGGAGGAGGGAGGGAGACCGAAGAACAGCACCAGAGAGGACAGAAGCAAGAAAAGTCGGGAGGGGGGGGGGGGGAGATGGCGGCAGAGAAGCCGGCCGGGCGGCCAAGGAGGCCCGGGGCGGGTCCCGCCCCTGCGGGGCCTCTCGAGCGCCACCGCGAGGAAGCGCCCCGGGCAGGTGGCCACCGCCGTCGGGGCGCGCTGGACGGCCGAGGCCCTGCTCCACTCCAGGGCGTCGCCGGAGACGCAGTGGAACGCCTGCTTGGAGGTGGCCACGACCAGGCGAGTCTCCGCCCCGTCCAGCCAGCCCGCGCCCACGGCGAGCTCCTTCAAGTCGACGGCACCGCCCAGCGCCTCGCCCGTCTCTAGCGACACGCGGCGCACGCAGTTGTCCAGCCCCAGGACCGCGGCCTCCGGGGAGCCGCCGAAGCCCTCGGAGTGCCCCACGACGTGCTTCACGCCCTTCCCCACCCCAAAGCGGAAGGGCGGCGCTGACGCCGGGGCTATTCCCACCACGCCGTCGCTGCCTCCGTAGGCCAGGGTGCCCGTCTTTGCATCCGCGGTGATGCACTCCAGGGGGCCCTGCGTGCCGTCCACGGTTGTGGCCAGTGCGAGCGAGCCGTCCTCTGCAACGTCCCACAGCAGCACGCGCCCGTCAAGACATGCGGTGATGACTCGTGAAGCAGTGGCGAAGGCGACGCCAACTTGCATGTCCCCGATGGCCCCTGCGCCCACCTGCTTCTCGCACACCTGGCTCGCGGACTCGCGGTCCCATACACGGACCTTCTTGTCGCCTCCAGCCGTGGCCAGGCGCTTCGAGTCGGGAGACCAGGCGACAGCCCAGAGGCTCCCCGTTATGCCAGCAGGCTTCTCGAACTCCTTCACTAGATCGCCCTCCTTGCCTGTGAAGAGGCACAGCTTCGAGTCCGAGCCGGCTGAGACGAGCCACTCCCCGTCAGGCGAGTATCGGACGCAGTTGACGAAATTGGAATGATTTTGGTGGGACTTCTCAAACTTGAACGGTGGCCCCGCGTGCGTGGCGACCAGGAAATCCTCCGAGCCCGTTGCAACGCGGAACGGTCGCTGGGATCTGAAAGAGATCGAGTTGACTTGTTTCGTGTGGCCGTCCACCACGCCCGTCTTGCTGCCAGTGTCCCAAATAATTGCGCACGCTCGGGTCTCCTTGCCATCGCCTTGGAATGATGGATAGCAAAATTGCCAGGGAGGCAGGGGAGTGGATTGCACAGACAAGACGAAACATGGAGCGGGGAAGAACTCGACCACAAAGACATGCTCGCTAGACAAAGAACAAATCGCGACCGACGCAACCGAGGTATCCCACAGAAGGCAGGAAGCAATTTACAGTTTCAACCAGACAGTTTGACCCCATAATGCCTGCTGCCACAAGCCTGGTGGAATCACCCGACCAGGATACGTCCTTCACAGCTCCATCCCACAGCTTGTACTCGTTCTTCTGCACGTTGTCACCCTTGGCACCCCAGACCCGAATGGCACCGCCGACGTCGCCAGACACGACCCACTGGCAGTTGGGCGACATCGCGGCCACCGTGGTCTTGCGCGCGTGGCCCTTCCAGCAGAACACGTCCTCGGGCTTCTCCGAGCCGGCCGCCAGGGGCCCCAGCGACCTCCACAGCACGTTGGACCCGTTGCAGTACAGCAGGCGCTCGCCGGGGGCGTCGCAGGCGACCGCCGTGAAGGAGCCGCGCTCCGTCGAGGGCAGCGGCGGCAGGGTGCGCTCCAGCTTCGCCATGCTCTTCCCCGCGCCGCGCCCCCTACGGGCGCCCCGTGGGAGCGGTTCGACCCTCCAGGAGGGCTGCAGGACGGCCCAGTACAGTGGAGAGGCCACTCCACAAGAGACCTTCCACAAGAGACCCAACCCCGAGACCCCAGGGCATCCATCGATTTGGGGCGTGGGAACGCCGCGCCTTCCGTCGCAAAACCATCGAAACCCAAGAAACCCAAGGCGCCCTGGAGGCGAATACGGCAGGTTCGCGTCGTGTCGACCCCAGCGATGGTTTCTGTCACCTCGGGGATCTTTCAACCTTGAACGATCGGCCCTTTCCGAGACGTGCGATCCTTCAACATCGACCGATTCTGGGTCGCCGGCGGCGTTCAACCTTGAACGCTCACGCTGGGGTCGCCGCCGGTCGACACGACACGAACCTACCGTAGGGTGTTTTGTTGGCATGGGTCCCCACTGCATGCCCGCCCAAGAGAGCACCCGACCGGACCCATCTGGGAGAGCTCGGCAGAGCCCTTGCGCCCAGGAGACGGCTCCGGGGCCCCGACGGGCCCCCGAAGGGCTCTCCAGGGAGGCCACAAAGAGAGAGGCGTCGGAGAAGCTCGGGGAGGCCACAGAGAGAGGCCACAAAGAGAGGCGTCGAAGAAGCTCGGGGAAGCCACCAAGGAGAGGCGTCGAAGAAGCCGTCAGCGGCCTCCGAGAGGCCCCAAGAGGCAACGCGACAATCATGCAACGGCACGGCAGCGCCACGTCACAGTATCGTGGCGATGCTTCCCGAACGTCCCTGAAGTGGTTCTACCGAACCTGCTCGGGAAAGATTGGAAGAACCATACTGCGTGCATGCATGTCGATGCTGCGCTGGTACGGTGGCGGGGCTTGGCCAGCGGCTGGATAGGATGCACAGGTGGAGGAAAATGGAAAGGGAGAGGCAGAGACAGAGGCAGATGCGGAATGAGCAGCAGCAAGGGCAGAGAAAAACGATGTGATTGCTAAACAAATGCTGACTCGGGAATCCGCAGCTGCCCTTGATCCTGCACGTTGGCGTGTTCAAGCCCCATGCAGGCTGACTTCTGAATACCGTCCAGAGAAGAAGCACCAAGAACCTTACTCCCTCATCCGTCCTCCTCCACCTCCTCCTCCTCTTCGGTGATCCTCCTTCTCCTCCGCGATCCTCGACGATGAGGATGTTCTGCCGAGTCTGGGTAGTTCTGGAGCCTCCGACGCTTCCTGCGGCATCCCAAGACCTCCACAGACCACCCGGGGTGAACGGCCTCGCGCTGCCAGGCAGCTAGTCTTCCCAGAGCCCCCGAGCCCCGAGGTGGCGTCCGGCGACCCTCTGCGGCGTTTCCCCCAGCTGCTGAGCTCGTGCGCGAAGCCGCAGCAGGAGCAGGAGCAGGAGCAGGAAGGGGGGGAGGAGGAAGAGGACGACGCCGATGCCGGCGATAGGGGGGAACCAGCAGGTACCGATGCCGCTGCTCCTGGGACCTCCCGGGGCGCATCCTTACCAGAACTTCGAGGAGAATCCCCGTGGCGACGGGCGCTCTCCCGAACGAGCAGCGGCATCCTGTACGTCTTCCCCCTCTGAGACGAGGGGGAGGGGGAGGACCACGAGCGCGCGGCGCAGAGGGGGCGGGCCAGCAGGGCCGACGGTCGACGGGGGGGACGCGGAACGGACGGGAAGGCACGGGAGGGAGCACCGTCGACTGGGACTAGCCGAGCGCCCTGCGCCCCGCGATGGGAAGTTCACGCGCCCAGTCCGTCGCGCAGTGCGTGCGGCACGCGGCGAACGAGCGCATCAGATGAGCGACGAGAAGCAGGTCTTGCGCGGGAGGACACAGCGACGTGCCCGGTGCGTGGCGCGGGCCGCCAGCGTGGCACGCGGCCTTGGAAACGAGGGCGCGCACGCGAGACGCTGCGCGGACAGCGCAAGTGTCCGTGAAGACGGCCCCACGCCCTGCGTCGCTCAAAAGGCGGCTACGAGAAGCGCCTGGCGCGCGCCCTGGAGGAGGGACGAGGCGGTCGCCAAATCCATGGATCGGGGGAACTGCCCTCCCCAGAGTGCGGCCGGTGCCGCCCCGTGCGGCGGCGAAGATCCGCGATTTCCAGGGCGGAGACGGGACCCGTCGCCAATCCACGTTTGCGATCGCCCGACCCGCCCTGCCCCCTCGACCCCTGTCCTTCCCCTGCCGCGCCCCCCCTGCCCCGCCCCCCATTCCTCGGGGAGCCTCCCCCCGCGCCCGAGCCAACAAGAAGGACGGAGCTCCCGCGAAGGCATCGTGCACTCGCCGGGGGGGGCCCTCCCCTGCCCTCTTCTCCCCACACTCTGCCTCCCCCCCAAACTCGTCATTGTCTTCTGCATCCGCCGCCCCCCCTCGTTCTCGAGGCGGGGACATTCTGGTGGTGTTTTGCAACCTGGTCGTGCTTGTTCCAAAGGCTTCCGAATTGCTTCGTTGTCTTATCCTGCGGTGTTTTCCAGCGGGTTCGTGCTTGCTCTCTCATGTCATCGTGATCCTCATATTTTCTTGTTCTCTCTCGCTCTCTCTTTCTCTCTGTTTCTCTCTATCTCTCTATTTTCGCCAGCCTCTTCGCAAACAACGCCCCCCCCATGGCCCTCGACATCTCAGCCCCGTGCCAAACGGCATAGGGGTTGGAATTTCGAGGGCCATCATCGGTTTTTGTTGGGGACCTTCGGACTCTCTGAAAGTATCTTGGCGAACGGGATCTCGATAAGAAAGCCCCCACCGGGAAGGCAGAGGTGCAGGGAGGGAGACAAAGAGTAGGAAATCCCACCAGCCCTTTGGGCGACAGGTGGTCTAAGGGTGATCTCTTTTTCTTCCACAACCCCTCTTCCCTTAGGGGATGGGAACCCTCCCCCTCCCCTCCCTGGGTGTTTTTTTGGGGGGGGGCGATGTGTCAGAAGGTCATTCCCTACCTAGGCTCTGCCTAGAAGGGTTCTTACCCTGTATGCTTAAAGGGCCAGGCAGTGCTCCCCGCCCCGGGCGGTTCCCCCAGGATCCGCCCCGCGGTTCCCCCTGTGGCGGTTCCTTAGCTTAGCGTTGCTTATCTCATCTTAGCTTAGCTTATTTCATATTAGCTTAGCTTAGCTTCATCTTAGCTCAGGTTTATCTTAGCTTAGCGTACCTTCATCTTAGCTCCGTTGAGCTTTAGCATAGCAGAGCACAGCATAGCATAGCAGAGCGTAGCATAGCATACCGCAGCACAGCATATCATAGCATAGCCCAGCATAGCATAGCATAGTGCAGCATAGCATAGCATAGCATAGCATAGCCTAGCGCAGCACAGCACAGCACAGCATAGCACAGCGCAGCATAGCATAGCATGGCAGAGCCTAGCATAGCACAGCAGCAAAGCAAAGGCAAAGCAACAGCAGCGACAGCAAAGCAAAGCACAAGCAACGCAAAGGCAAAGCAAAGCAAGAGCAACAGCAAAGCAAAGGAAAGGCAAAGCAAAAGCAATGTGCCACAGATGCCGAGCTAGCCTCGATGGGTGTAATTCCCTATCTAGGCTCTGCCTAGAGGGTTAGCTTAGCTTAGCTTAGCATAGCGCAGCGCTGCATTAGCATAGCAAAGCGTAGCATAACATAGCCAATCATAGCATCGCATAGCATAGCATAGCGCAGCATATCATAGCATAGCTTAGCACAGCATAGCATAGCATAGCACAGCTTATCATAGCATAGCATAGCAAAGCATAGCTTAGCATAGCACAGCGCAGCATGGCATAGCACAGCTTAGCATAGCATATCATAGCATGGCGCAGCATAGCATAGTATAGCATAGCATAGCATAGCGCATCATAGCATGCCATAGCATAGCATAGCATAGCATAGCATAGCAACTATTGCTGCTTTCCTAGGGGCTCCAACTTCTAGGTAGGGTCGCACTGGGGTAATTGTTTTGGCCAGTGCGAGGGCCAATGTTTGACACCGCTCACGAGGATCGTGGCCCCTGAAAGGGGGGGTCAGACATCGAGGACCCCCCCTCTTTTGACCGATCGCCTCGAAGGTAGCACCAAGAGGCCCTCCAGAGCTCCCAAGAGGCCCCCAAGAGAGCTCCAAGAGCGCCCAAAGAAGCCCCACGAGGCCTCCAAGAGGTACCCGAGGGCACCCACGAGGCCCCCTGAGCGGCCCCCCAAAAGGCCCAAGAAGCTCACCCGAGGCACGGAAGACGCCGTCTCGTCCTCGTCCTCCTCCTCGTCCTCCTCGTCCTCGTCCTAACACCTCGTCCTCATCCAAGTCGACCTCCTCGTCCTCCTCCTCGTCCTCCTCCTCCTCCTCCTCCTCCTCCTCCTCCTCCTCCTCCTCCTCTCCTCCTCCTCCTCCTCCTCCTCCTCCTCCCCTTCCTCCTCCTTATCATCAATCATCATCAGCATCATCATCATCATCATCATCATCATCATCATCATCATCATCATCATCATCATCATCATCATCATCATCATCATCATCATCATCATCATCATCATCATCATCATCATCCCTCCTCTTCGTCCTCTCCTTCTCGTCCATATCATTCGTCCTCGCGTTCGTCCTTTTCCTCCTCCTCCTCCTCCTCCCCCTCCTCCTTTTTTCCCATTCTCACCTCCCCATCGTCCTCTCCTCCCTCCTCCCTCCCTCCTCCTCCTCCTCCTCCTCCCTCCTCCTCCTCCTCCTCCTCCTCCTCCCTCCTCCTCTCCTCTCCTCCCCTCCTCCTCCTCCTCCTCCTCTCCTCCTCCTCCTCTTCGCACCCCCCCCCCCCGCGGGCCCGGAAATGGCCCCAACACGCCGTCCAGGCCGGCTTCCCTCGCTGTTTGACTATGCGTGTCTCTTTTTCTCTCCCCCCGTCAGCTCTCCTGGGCATCGTTTCTAGATGGGCTGGTGGGGATATGTTTTGTCGCAACCGCAGGCGAAGGCGCCGGCAGCGTCACAGGTCGGTTCGGGCTACGAGCAGAACTAATTGCCTAGCGCGCGCGCAGGCAACAGCTAAACGTACCGCCGGGGGAAGCTGGGC